AAATGACAAATAACACTACGGGATATTTTGTCATAAAACAGTGCTGCCTCATAACTACATATTGTGTGTTCTTTCGCCTGTTTGAATCTCATGTGCAAAAATAATTGTAAATTGCTTTCATGTCATAATGGCCAGTTTTAGCATCATATTATTATATCCTGTCTGTAATATTTTGCACAAAACAATACACGCGTCTTGCAAGTAGAAAGTTAATCAAAATCCCAAGAAATTAAATCAATAAAAATAGCTCGAACGGAATTGTTGAAACTAGTTAAGTACATACAATACCTTTTGTTATTTCATCTGTAACATTTTTTATCTCGTCATATCTTTCTTCGTTTTCCATTTTTTCTTCTTCAAGTAACCGCTCCAATCTTTCAAGCTTCACGTTAATCCGATTTTCAGTTTCTAGAAAAAGATATCAATAATAAAACAGACCGAAAAAGTTTTCAATTTAGATTACACCGATAAACTAGAATGATGTTATACTATAATATGAGATATATATTTCCCATGTTTATAAATCGATAGTATGTAAGGAATTACATTTTCAGTCACCATACCTAAAGGAAGAGTTGATTTGATTTTAAACTGTATGGCGTTTTAGGCAACAATTGATGGCAACTCATAAAATAAAAACGCATAGTTTATGTGTTTTCAATTCGATTCGACGAAATATAGTTTTGTCGGAATGTTAAGCAATAATGAGTAGGATTAGTCTGCCAGCCTTAACTCCTATTCACGTGGCTCAATAAATATATTTGTGTGAGTTTGGAAAAGGCGAGGCTTCAATCAATGAAACTGTAAGAAACGTTGATTTGTAGCAAAGTCTCAATGAGACTACGGAGAGAATGCAAAATTAGATTCATATCACAGACATATACGTGCCTTCTATTTTCTTTTCGATACTCTTTTCTATAGCAGTGTAGTTTACGGTACCAGGATCTCCGGTACTTCCCTTTTCACCCTTTGGGCCGGCTTTTCCAATTCTAGGCTGCTGCATGGCATCATCAGATTGTCCAAAAGCTTGTGACCCTGTTATTTGATTCATGCAGAACCGATTCATCGCGTAAATTTGAGAACAAAATCCATAAACAGAACCGGGATCTTGGCAATATGCGACGCCTAGCAAACCACATAATATTAGGAATTTCAAGAAATACATTATATCCGATTTAAAGTCCTTGTATAATAAAAAAAAATTGACTATGATTAGATACAGAAAAGTGAAAAATAGTAACTAATTTATGGTATACTGCGTTATGGTTCCCATTGTTTCGTGCGTGAATGACTATGGGTTTTCTGCCTCCCTCTCCTTCTCTTAATGCTTACGTCGACGACTGTATGCTTTCTGTAATACATTTTCATTATCTATAAATATCGTCTATTCTCCGAGTTCACAATACACCAGGATCTACTTTTTTCATGATTCTAAATCAATATAGAGAGTGTTTTCTCATAGAAATTGTGCAATACCGTTTTGGAGCGCTAATTTCTTATAGCACTATCTCTTTCGGCGTTTGTCGCTTGAAGGTGTGACGTCTCAACTTGCATCTCCACAATCGGTGGGCTCAGGGTCTTTATTGAGGCGTAGTTTATATTTATATGCAATAATTAGGTGTCCCCCTTGTTTCATATTTAGTTAATATTGGTTCATTCTGCGAGGTTGCACTTTATTTTACCGTATTTCTATTTGACTGCTACTCCATTATAACAACTTTTTCCATTCTAAATTATTCTCTGAACTCAACAATAAAGAAGTTTTAAGCACTCAGTTTAAAATGTGGGAAATGGGTTGTACGATGAAACTGCAACAAAAATTCATTACTTCTCCAAAAAACAGACATTTCAATTTCTGGCGACTTTTCATTCGAAGTGCAAGCAACTCCCAACCTTTCAACTCTGATCTACTCTCACACAAATTATTATATATATGTTTATGTGCTTGCGGTACTCTCTGTCTTAATTAAGCAATTCAAATGAAAAAGTCTCCGTATGTTCAGATTTCAAAAATATCACTTCAAGTGAAAAAAAAAACAGCTACGAAATTGTTTTTGCTCAGTTTTTCCGAGCTCTATCGATTCTTGGAAATCTTAACATTGGTGTCATGTAGGCTATGCACATTTTCGATATTTCCGAAAACAAAGTCGAGGACTATTCGAGTGACGCAGACAGACTGCGTGGAGTCAGAAAATTTCATAAACAATGAAAACTAATGGGTGAGGAAAAGGAAATGAGTATTGGTTGGAATACCCTATTCCACACCAACTGATTTTTTTACGTCCGTACAAATAGGAATTGGACAAAAAAATTTTGCGTTTTCTGGCACAAGACAAATGTTAATACTCGCCTATTCTCAAATATAGTAGTTTGAAGTTATACTGTTGGGTTTATTCCTTCCCTGCGTTTGCCTTCATAACTCGATTCGTCAAGTTTACTGTAATTTCTGATAATGCAACTATATTATTTGAAAATATTGGTATGTATTTAAACCACCACAACGTTTGCCACCCAATAGAATTGCCTTTGACCTAATGCAAAATACGCAAACGAGTTCTCAATTCGAGGCCATCAACGGGACATACTAATTTGCGTTCGATTTCGGCAGGGTTGACTTTTTAAAATTTCTGTCTCGCAAACGAAGTCCACTTTCTGCAAGCGGTAAACGCCAAAATTATATAGAAACCAAATTTACCACAAAAATGTTTGCGTGATAACCCAACTTTAAAGAAGACCTCTAATTTGCAGCGACCATTTGAGTCTTAAAAGGATGTCTAAAATAATGTTTCCCCACGAATCTCTATTAGTTTATCACTGGCCTTTAAAGGTTGGCATTGATATTCCAGGGATTTCACACCACTTAGGCTTTTGAATGGGTATATACACCGATATGCTGAGGCCAAATTTATTTCTGAATGAGCTCAAACGTATCTCTTATCTTTAATTTTATTCAGCTTTTTATCTTTTATGTCGCCTTTTATCCGTTTGTAAAGCAGCCCTGTGGTGTGGCATGATAGTGATAGTGGCAATTCACCATGTTATATATTCAATACGGTGACCGTACATTCGAACCCATGTGTATATCCGCTCGTTTAATCTATATGCGGGTGCTAAAACCCATGGGTTAGGGTTAGTATGGGTTCAAATATCCGTAAAACAAAAAAATTCTCATAGGTGCAATAGTATGCAGGTGCAATTGTTGTGGGTTCAAATGTACGTGGGTTCAAATGTAATGGAACTATTCAATACTCCTTATATTGTATGCTAGACTAAGGCGATTAACATTCGTTTTACTGACTTTTAAACGACGCCGTTGCGTTTAACGAACGTATCAAAAGCATGATATTAAGTTGTTTGCAATCATCTTCATGTTCCGAATATTTACAAAGCTCATTGAAGCATAACAAATTCTGTGTAATATGTTTGCCGTTTTAGTTGCGATTGCCACTGTTATAGCAAGTTGAACGTCATTATGATAAGGCTTTTCGAGAAAGAGAATCACGCCAAAACATATGCAGTTTATAGACCTGATTATCCCATTTCAGTCGCAGAAGAAATCATTAGTTATGTAAGCAGGAAAAGCGGGTTACAAAAAGGTGATAATATACCGGTAATGGTCGACATTGGATGTGGCACCGGGCAATCAACTAAACTTTTTCAACCATACGTATCAAAAATTATAGGCATCGATCCAAGTGAAAATCAAATCGAGCAAGCAAAGATATGCAACTTTGCAACAAACGTTACGTACATGGTGGGAAAAGCTGAAAGCATTCCTGTTGAAGACAAATCCGTGGACATTGTTTGTGCTGGAACTTCAATACACTGGGTTGATTTTGAATGTTTTTTCAAGGAATGCAGCAGAGTGCTGAAGCCCAGTGGTAGCATAGCTCTCTACGCGTGTGGGAAACCAAATATCACCCAGTTGGATAGGAGTCCGGATCCAAGTGCTGCTTCAATTTTGTTCAATCTCCATTCCAAATGTATCTGGCATGAACGAACCAGTCATGTGGGCGACAAGTACAGTAGAATATTTGACATGATATCTGCTGAGGATAAAACTAGGTCTGATTGTCACAAAATCGAAAAAGAGTTAAGTCTGGAGGAATTTTCAAAATATGTTTCGACGTGGTCAAGCTATCACACGTTTTTGAAAAATAAAAATGATAGTCTGTCTGATATTTTAAAGGATTTCGGCAATGATTTGAAAAAACTTTGGCATGTGGAGCACTTACGTGATGATGAAGTGAAATTATTCGTCTCGTGGGATGTGTTCATACTTCTTTCAGGAAGACCTTAGAAGTGAACTTTTCATTCCTAAATCTCATATTTCTGACCGATATCATGTGCGTATTCTAATTTTTCATACCCAAATAACAAGTTTTGTATGATGATGATGGACCAACGGTATACCACCGTTTTGATAAAAAAGGGATGGTTAAATGTTCCTAAATTAATACGTATGAGACATTTTTTTACCAATTGATGCCTTGTGTTGTAGATATTCCACTGACCTTTTTTTTATATTTCGGGTAGAATTGTAGGCTTGGTTACAAACGCAAATAATAATTAATAAGCAGTCATCGGCGAGTGGCGACAGAAGTTAAATATGATTGAAGGAGTGAAATCAGAACCCAAAATTAAATTTCCAAATAACTTGCATTCTGATTTTTATATTTTGTGTCGCCTTTTATCGTCCTTATATCCGTTTGTAAATTCGCCTTGGATAAGGTTAGCTGGCTGGTGGCAATTCACCGTGCTATATATTTAATACTATTTATATTGTATGGTAGATTTAACTATTACCACTCGTAGTACAAACTCTGAAACGACGCCTTTGTGTTTACTGAACCTATCAAAAGCTTATATATGTTAGGTTGTTTGCAATGAACCTCATGTTCCGGATATTTACAAAGCTCATTGAAGCATAACAACAGCTGTGTAATATGTTTGCCCGAAGGCCGTTTTAGCTTCAAATACAACTGGTATAGTAAGTTGAACGTCATTATGATAAGGCTTTACGAGAAAGAGAATCACGCCAAAACATATGCAGTTTATAGACCTGATTATCCCATTTCAGTCGCAGAAGAAATCATTAGTTATGTAAGAAGGAAAAGCGGGTTACAAAAAGGTGATAATATACCGGTAATGGTCGACATTGGATGTGGGACCGGGCAATCAACTAAACTTTTTCAACCTTACGTATCAAAAATTGTAAGTATCGATCCAAGTGAAAATCAAATCGAGCAAGCAAAGATATTCAATTCTGCACCGAACGTTACGTACTTTGTGGGGAAAGCTGAAAGCATGCCTGTTGACGACGAATCCGTGGACATTGTTTGTGCTGGAACTTCAATACACTGGGTTGATTTTGGATGTTTTTTCAAGGAATGCAGCAGAGTGCTGAAGCCCAGTGGTAGCATAGCTCTCTACGCGTATGGGAAACCGAATATTACCCAGTTGGATAGAAGTCCTGACCCAAGTGCTGCTTCAATTTTGTCCAATCTATGTTCGGAATGTATCTCACACGAACGAACTAGTCATGTGGGCGACAAGTACAGTAGAATATTTGACATGATAACTTGTGCAGATAAAACTAGGTCTGATTTTCACAAAATCGAAAAGGAGTTAAGTCTGGAGGAATTTTCAAAATATGCTTCGACGTGGTCAAGCTATCACACATTTTTGAAAAATAAAGAGGATAGTCAATCTGATATTTTAAAGGATTTCGGCAAAGATTTGAAAAAACTTTGGCATGTGGAGCACTTACGTGATGATGAAATAAAATTATTCGTTACGTGGGATGTGTTCATACTTCTTTCAGGCAGACCTTGGAAGTGAACTTTTCATTCCTAACTATCATATTTCTGACCACCGAATTTACATAACCAAATACAAAGTTTTTATAAATTAAGAGATGTGAGATATTTTTCTGCTTTCAGCGTTTCGAATTTGCCTAGTTACCATAAATGTGTTGTATATTCGAATAAATCACATTATATTCGTTCATCTTCATCAAATAGGGCGACAATATGTAAACAAATTTCAATATCTTTCATGACTATGGCCTGAACACAGAGAAAAATTGAAATTTCGCCAAACTCTGACCTCATTGGTTAAAATGGAACGTTTAGCGAAGCAATGATCCATTGATAGTCATAACTACGATCGGTATCAGGAAAGTACGTCCACGTTTTTTTCTGTAATGAGTAGAGACTTGATCAATTGAATGCGTATTTCGTCTTCGGTTTATCACGCCACCAATTTCAAATGAACAGAAAACTGGCAATTTTACATTGTGATACCGGATTCTTGACAGTCTAACCCTGATCGATTGTTACTGGTGACGTAGGATTTGCAATACCAATTACATTCGATTCAGCACTAATTGGCAATTGCGGCCCAAAATTTAACTGTAGCAAAATGACTGTTCCGGACGACGAAAATTCTGTGAAGAAATCTCCCTCGTATAAGTCTAATATCTAGCGTGTTCTAAGATTGACAGCTTACTGGCAAGGCTATTTTGTCAGACTACCCCATGTAACAATGCTCTTCCTTACGACATGGTGAAGAAACTCTTTAGGTGTGTAAAGCCAACTCTTCGGATAGCCTATTCTCGCTGGAACCTAGAGGCTACGATATATCACCAATAGCTGAATAGGAACAATGGAATTGTAAACACACACTATCCCATATGACTTAGTCCGTCAAATTCCAGTACAATTGCAGAAAAGAAACATTAAAAGCATGACATAAAATACAATAATTTACATGTTCCAATAGATGAAAAACAGACCATGTAATGAAGATTGATACTAAATTGTCACGGTCTCAGACAAATAATCTACATCACACAACTGATAAGCCAAGCAGAAAATTTACAAAATAAATAAATTTACGCTACATCACGCTAATTTTGATGTGACTGGCATGCAATTTGCTAATTTCTCAGAGAGAGCATCCTATTCTGGGTTCAAAGTTTTAGTCCTATTAGTAACTAAAAGATAGTGCCAGTCTCTAGTACTATAGCCTTGAGCATTTTTAGCAACCCATTTACAACCATGATAATACACTGCTGCACAAAAATTAAAAATAAATATTTGATAGCAAAAAAGAAATTCATACGCCATCACCACCCACAATCCATGGTTAACTTGTAAGTAGAAAAATTAACATATTAAAATTGTACATAATAAAGTTCTACAATTTAAAATCTATTTTAATATGTGATCGACTGGCTCTCTCTTTGAATATTTATCCCACCTCTTTGAAAAAAGGACTTCTAAATTTTCGGTGTAGCTTTTGAAGCTAAATAACGGTGACTCAATTCTCTGCTTCCAAACTTTAGCCTGTATCGACTTTAAACTAAAAAATAAATAGATACATAAGTTCTGCATACATTACCTCTGAAAAATTATTCGTGGGAAAGGAAATGAATATTGGTTGGAATGCCCGATTCCACAACAACTGACTTTTTAGGCCAGTGAAAATAGGTTTAATATGCGAAAAAACGTTTCCGACAGTACGGCATGGCTAGTTTCAAACTGTTCACTGATAATTATACTAAATTTAGTTTTCTGGCACAAGACAAATGTTAATACTCGCCTATTCTTCTTCGCAGTCTGACATTATACTGTTGGGTTTATTTCTTCCACGTGGTTACCTCATCACTTAAAGTTATCGCGGAAATTTTTTTGTTACGAATTTGATTTTATATGATTTTTTGCGTTCGCCGCTACATAAAGTGGACTTCGTTTGCGAGACACGATTTTTTAACAGTTAAACCTACGGAATATGATACGATACTTTATTACGATTCACTGATGACGTAACCCAAAAAAGTCGTCGACGTAATTTTGCATTAGGTTAAAGGTATAAATATGGCGTTCTGTGTTCTAATTATAAACCGCGTGCTAGTTCTAATGGTTGTTGCATTTAGCAAACGTCTCAACGTCGCTGCTTCTGCGGGTTTTAAAATATTCTGTTCATCTTTCATGTGCCATGAATTTACAGTAGGAAACTGAATTGGATTGAAGTTGCTTTTCTACAAACTTGCATAAGTTCTGGAATTAGAACAACTTGCCTTCATCACCTGAAATATTTTTCTCAAGAAAATACTCAACACACAGTTCAACATTTCTCCTGTCCGTGTTTTGGATCAGATGCATCAAGTCAAAGCATTTGAATTCCTCAAACGAAGTTGTCCATTTTCGAGGTATTTTACGCAAGACTTGTACGACTTGTAGGGCCATATCAACAAAAGATTACAAATGTTCATTTATAGGATTTTTATAAACACTTTGAAGATCTTTGTTCTTGATAATAATAATATTGCATGCAACGGTGTCGTCCATTTTCAGAGTGGGAGCCCATTTTTATCATTTATTTCTTTCTCTCAGGTGTTAACAGTAGAGATCCCCAGCGGCCAATGATGATTTGAAGTCAGGGACAACGTTTCACACTCACATTACCAGGCAAAAATACAATTTTTGAAATCAACGAACACACAATGAATTGACTGTTTCGATCCGATTTGAACAAGACATCACCTAAAATATACGTTTTCTGATGGCAATATATGATAATAATAGTTGTACGCGAAGAATTTGCTGTTGTTTTTCATCTAGGGGTTGTTGTGAAATTCGCCTTTCTCTGCAACTAAAAGACCAACCCTTTTTCTAGTTTTTAGCACTAAGGGATGGGAGAAGTCGTATAAAAGCTATTAATATTCTTAACCTCTCAAATATTATTAACCTCACTTTTTTTCAAATTCATTTCTAAGCCTAGTTTCTGGAGTCCAAATGGATTTGAGAATCCAAGAAAACATCTCAATATCACGGTGCATTTGTAATAAGACAACGATAACTGAAAAATTTGACTTTAATTCAACATAAGCTCACGGCATGAAAAGGTTTTACAGACGTACTTTTAAATGAATATTTATGTGTTCAGAATTTCTTATCCAACTTTACTGGAATTTTATAGAAAAATATGACGCCATAACGTAATCCTACTTTTTGCCATGTATTCATTGATAAAAATCTTTTCGCAGCATAGTTATTTTGTTTTACAGTTATTTTTTAATTGCCATAAATTTTCGTGTTTCTCTTCTTGGAATCAGAAAAATGGCCCATCTATTGAATAAATTTTGATATCTTTGTAGTTGGCCTTATAATCGATTTGCCGCCGATAGAGCGAGTAGGCTATAATTTTAAATGAAATATGCAACTGGAGAAAGGAAAAAGTAGTCATGAATCCTACTAATGATAAAACCTATTGGATAATCATTTTTAGCGATGGAAGTAACGCATGATCCGAATTAAAATGTGAAAATTGAACATTTAAATTTTTCTCAGCATCATCACCGACGTCTTCTTTGTTTGGCCGGACCAAATGATTCCAGCTCTTCCAGCACTAGTTGATCGCATGGTTCTAAGATATTCTCCATTCAAATGCGAATAGTTGCAATTCACAAACCACCATCCACCTCTTAAATATTTCGAACAATGATCACTCCAAGTATCCAAATCTTTGTCAGGAGCCGAAAATTGCATGCTGTTATGACCGTTCAGAGCGTCTCCTGCCGTCCCCGAATATCCAGAAAGGGTCAGTCTATAATTATCTTCTCTTCCACTTATTTTGAAAGTACTAGACAAGAAATAAGATTATGGTAATTATTGTGATATTGGCTTCGGTGTTCAGTTCATTTCAATCCTAAAGCAGAATTTTTCTAATTATTTTAGGTCTGTTTTAGTTTCTTTCGAATAATTTTGTGTGTAATTTTTGAATAGTACTGGAAATAAAAAACAATTATTGCATACTCAATATATTATACAAACCTATATTTTGCATAAGCAACATTATTATTCCAGTCGGACAAATCAATCCTTAGTTCGTAAGTTCCATCCTTGGTCAATTGATGAATCGTTTCAAGACCTGGATGGAAAATATATTGAGTAACAAAATCTCGGTATTTCGTGTTATTACGTTCAATCAACTTACAATAAATTGACTGTCATTGAAACAAAGTGACAAACAAAATATCTCGGTGTCGATCTCAACTCGTGGCAATGCGATGCCTGCCTAAACCATTATCGGTATGATATTCTACTATTTATTTGGGAAAGGTTAACTTCACTAAACAATATGCAATAACAACCAGAAAATGTACATTTATATCTGTTATTACCGAGCCAAAATTCTCCTGTTTTACGTCCGAATCCTTCAGCATATTCTTCCCACCCACGATCAAAACTTTCTGTGCCATCTACTCGACGTTGAAACACCTGATAAATTGTATATAGTTAAAAGGATGATTTTATGGATTTATCGAACCATTTCTTCCCATTAGATTTTTAAATTACTGTCGCAAATAGCGAAATAGGTGATTATTGAACCTAAACCATTCTTAGCTTAGCTAACTATCGCAAAAAAAGGTGATTATTCTACAAAACTAAAGAAAGAAGAAATATTTCACCGTCCATTTTCCTCCATCTGTGGTAAGATCGCAATAAACTTCGTATTTATTATTGTTGCGATAAATATCAAAAACTCCTCCTCGGCCATCCCACAATTTTGCATCATCTTGCGACACCTGTTCACATCCCGAAATGCTCCGGCGTTGCCGTTCTTAAGCCAAAAAGACAGCGGGAAAGATGTTTCGATATTTAAACGACTAAAATAAGTTCCACAATATCTATTTCAATTTAAAATGGCAGCTGGGAAATGACAAATAACACTACGCGACATTTTGTCATAAAACAGTGCTGCCTCATAACTACATATTGTGTGTGAATTCGTCTGTTTTAATCTCATGTGCAAAAATAATTGTGAATTGCTTTCATCTTATGATGGCCGGTTTTAGCAACATATTATTATATCTTGCCTTTAGTATTTCGCACAAAAAATTACACGTCCTGCAAATAGTTGAAACTAGTAAAGTGGAACATAAAATACCTTTTGTTATTTCATCTGTAACATTTTTTATCTCGTCATATTTTTTTTCGTTTTCTATTTTTTCTTCTTCGAGTAACCGCTCTAATCGTTCAAGCTTCACGTTAATCCGATTTTCAGTTTCTAGAAAAAGATATCAATAATAAAACAGACCGGATAAGTTTTCAAATCAGATTGCACTTGAATGCGATAGACTATATGATGTTATACAACGTGGACGTTTAGGAATCTATAATATGAGATATATATTTCCCATGTTTATAAATCGATAGTATGTTAGCAAATCGATTTTCAGTTACCATACCTAAAGGAAGAGTTGATTTGATTTTAAACTGTATGGCGTTTTAGGCAACAATTGATGGCAACTCATAAAATAAAAACGCATAGTTTATGTGTTTTCAATTCGATTCGACGAAATATAGTTTTGTCGGAATGTTAAGCAATAATGAGTAGGATTAGTCTGCCAGCCTTAACTCCTATTCACGTGGCTCAATAAATATATTTGTGTGATTTTGGAAAAGGCGAGGCTTCAATCAATGAAACTGTAAGAAACGTTGATTTGTAGCAAAGTCTCAATGAGACTACGAAGAGAATGCAAAATTAGATTCATATCACAGACATATACGTGCCTTCTATTTTCTTTTCGATACTCTTTTCTATAGCAGTGTAGTTTACGGTACCAGGATCTCCGGTACTTCCCTTTTCACCCTTTGGGCCGGCTTTCCCAATTCTAGGCTGCTGCATGGCATCATCAGATTGTCCAACAGCTTGTGACCCTGTTATTTGATTCACGCAGAACCGATTCATCGCGTAAATTTGAGAACAAAATCCATAAACAGAACCAGGATCTTGGCAATATGCGACGCCTAGCAAACCAAATAATATTAGGAATTTTAAGAAATACATTATATCCGATTTAAAGTCCTTGTATAAGAAAAAAATTGACTATGATTAGATACAGAAAAAGTGGAATGGTGTTCTGCCTCCCTCCTCTGCTGTTAATGCTCACGTCGACGACTGTTTGCTTTCTGTAATACATTTTTATTATCTATAAACATCGTCTATTCTCCGAGTTCACGATACACCGGGATCTATTTTTTCATGATCCTAATTCAATATAGAGAGTGTTTTCTCAAAGAAATTGTGCAATACCGTTTTGGAGCGCTAATTTCTTAGCACTATCTCTTTCAGCGTTTGTCGCTTGAAGGTGTGACGTCCCAACTTGCATCTCCACAATCGGTGGGCTCAGGGTCTTTATTGAGGCGTAGTTTATATTTATATGCAATAATTATGTGTCCCCCTTGTTTCATATTTAGTTAATATTTGTTCATTCTGCGATGTTGCACTATATTTTACCGTATTTCTATTTGACTGCTATTCTATAATAACAACGTTTTCCATTCTAAATTATTCTCTCATTATTAACTCAACAATAAAGAACTTTTAAGCACTCAGTTTAAAGTGTGGTAAGTGAGTTATACGATAGAACCGCAACAAAAATTCAGTACTTTTCCAAACAGACATTTCAATTTCTGGCGACTTTTAGTTCGAAGTGCAAGCAACTCCCAAGCTTTCAACTCTGTTCTACTCTCACACAAATTATTATATATATGTTTATGTGCTTGCGTTACTTACTGTCTTAATTAAGCAATTCAAATGAAAAAACCTCCGTATGTTTAGATTTCAAAAATATCAAAAAAAAAAAAAAAATCAGTTACGAATTTGTTTTTTGCTCAGTTTTTCCGAGCTCTATCGATTCTTGGAAATCTTGACATTGACGGCATGCCGGCCTATTCACATTTTCGATATTTCCGAAAACAAAGTCGAGGACTATTCGAGTGACGCAGACAGACTACGTGGAGTCAGAAAATTTCATAAACAATGAAAACTAATTGGTGTGGGAAAGGAAATGAGTATTGGTTGGAATACCCCATTCCACACCAACTGATTTTTAGGTTTGTACAAATAAGAATTGTATGCGAAAAAATGTTTGCGACAGTACGGCATGGTTCGTTTCAAACTGTTCACTGATAATTATACTAGATTTTGTTTTCTGGCACAAGGGAAATGTTAATATCCGTCTATTCTTCTTCCCGGTCTGACATTATACTATTGGGCTTTTTTCTTCCCTGTGTTCACCACATTACTTAGAATTATCGCGGAAATTTTTTTGTTGCGAATTTGATTTTATAGGATTTTTTGCTTTCGAAACACAATTAAACCTGCATAATAACATACGATATTTTATTACAATTCACTGATGACGTAGTACAAAGAATTCGTCGACGCAATTTTGCACTGGGTTAAAGGTAATTATTGCGTTCTGTATTCTAATTTTAAACCGCATGCTAGTTCTATTGATTGCTGCATTTAGCAAACGCTGCAGTGGCAAAGCAGCATTACCTGACGCAGGTTATCAAATCAAGTTTTTATTTATATTAATCAATTTCTGATTTATGACATTTCACCAGACGATTACGGGATTTCATTATATGTAATTCATTCATGTCAATAAATGTTTGCTCACGAATCTCCAAAAATTGATGCCTCCTCCCTCCTCGTGGTATATTTATTGCCCTGACCCTAATTAGGCGACTTAGTCATACCAGACATTCACTCCAAACAAGTCTATGTGTGAGAATCCACCAATATGCAAGGGCCAACTTTATTTCTGGATGGAGCCTAACTTGCCTGATGTTCAACGTCCATTTCGTGCCTACGTGGAACAATTGGGTTTTATTTCCGAAAACAAAGTCGACTAAAACGACTACTATTCGAGTGACGCAGACAGACTACGTGGAGTCAAAAAAATTCATAAACAATGAAAAATTATTTGTGTGGGAAAGGAAATGAGTATTGGTTGGAATACCCCTTCAACTGACTTTTTAGGTCCGTAGAAATAAGAATGATATGCGAAAATTTAGTTTTCTGGCACAAGACAAATGTTAATACTCGCCTATTCTCATAGATAGTAGCCTAGTTTGACGTTATACTGCTGGGTTTATTCCTTTCCTGCGTTTGCCTCCATAACTCAAAGGTTTTTGTTGCTGATTTGATTTTATATGATTTTTTAAGATTTTTGGCGTTTACCGCTTAAATAGAGTGGACTTCGTTTGCGAGACACAAATTTTTATAAGTCAAGCCTGTAAAGTACCATTATTATGATACATTAGTAGAGTCCACTGATGACGTAGTAGAAACAACTCGTCGGCGTAATAGACTCGTGATATCGGAAAAAAGATATATATTTACATTCCTATGGGGGGCCATAAGAGATCGAGTCTATCTTGATCTCGATTCGTCAAGTTTACTGTAATTACTGATAATGCAACGATATTATTTGAAAATATTGGTATGTATTTAAACCACCACAACGTTTGCCGCTTTAATAGAATTGCCTTTGACCTAATGCAAAATACGCGAACGAGTTCTCAGTTCGAGGCCATCAACGGGATATACTAATTCGCGTTCGATTTCGGCAGGGTTGACTTTTAAAAATTTCTGTCTCGCAAACGAAGTCCACTTTCTGCAAGCGGTAAACGCCAAAATTATATAGAAATCAAATTTGCCACAAAAATGTTTGCGTGATAACCCAACTTTAAAGAAGACCTCTAATTTGCAGCGACCATTTGAGTCTTAAAAGGATGTCTAAAATAATGTTTCCCCACGAATCTCTATTAGTTTATCACTGGCCTTTAAAGGTTGGCATTGATATTCCAGGGATTTCACACCACTTAGGCTTTTGAATGGGTATATACACCGATATGCTGAGGCCAATTTTATTTCTGAATGAGCTCAAACGTATCTCTTATCTTTAATTTTATTCAGCTTTTTATCTTTTATGTCGCCTTTTATCCGTTTGTAAAGCAGCCCTGTGGTGTGGCAAGATAGTGATAGTGGCAATTCACCATGTCATATATTCAATACGGTGACCGTACATTTGAACCCATGTGTATATCCGCTCGTTCAATCTATATGCGGGTGCTAAAACTCATGGGTTAGGGTTAGTATGGGTTCAAATATCCGTAAAACAAAAAAATTCTCATAGGTGCAATAGTATGCAGGTGCAATTGTTGTGGGTTCAAATGTACGTGGGTTCAAATGTAATGGAACTATTCAAAACTCCTTATATTGTATGCTAGACTAAAACGATTAACATTCGTTTTACTGACTTTTAAACGACGCCGTTGCGTTTAACGAACGTATCAAAAGCATGATATTAAGTTGTTTGCAATCATCTTCATGTTCCGAATATTTACAAAGCTCATTGAAGCATAACAAATTCTGTGTAATATGTTTGCCGTTTTAGTTGCGATTGCCACTGTTATAGCAAGTTGAACGTCATTATGATAAGGCTTTTCGAGAAAGAGAATCACCCCAAAACATATGCAGTTTATAGACCTGATTATCCCATTTCAGTCGCAGAAGAAATCATTAGTTATGTAAGCAGGAAAAGCGGGTTACAAAAAGGTGATAATATACCGGTAATGGTCGACATTGGATGTGGCACCGGGCAATCATCTAAACTTTTTCAACCATACGTATCAAAAATTATAGGTATCGATCCAAGTGAAAATCAAATCGAGCAAGCAAAGATATGCAACTTTGCAGCAAACGTTACGTACATGGTGGGAAAAGCTGAAAGCATTCCTGTTGAAGACGAATCCGTGGACATTGTTTGTGCTGGAACTTCAATACACTGGGTTGATTTTGAATGTTTTTTCAAGGAATGCAGCAGAGTGCTGAAGCCCAGTGGTAGCATAGCTCTCTACGCGTGTGGGAAACCAAATATTACCCAGTTGGATAGGAGTCCGGATCCAAGTGCTGCTTCAATTTTGTTCAATCTCCATTCCAAATGTATCTGGCATGAACGAACCAGTCATGTCCGCGACAAGTACAGTAGAATATTTGACATGATATTTGCTGAGGATAAAACTAGGTCTGATTGTCACAAAATCGAAAAAGAGTTAAGTCTGGAGGAATTTTCAAAATATGTTTCGACGTGGTCAAGCTATCACACGTTTTTGAAAAATAAAAATGATACTCAGTCTGATATTTTAAAGGATTTCGGCAATGATTTGAAAACTTTGGCATGTGGAGCAATTACGTGATGATGAAGTGAAATTATTCGTCTCGTGGGATGTGTTCATACTTCTTTCAGGAAGACCTTACAAGTAAACTTTTCATTCCTAAATATAATATTTCTGACCAATATCATATGCGTGTTCTAATTGGCACCGAATTTTACATAACCAAATACAAGTTTTGTATATATGATGGAGATGGACCAACGGTATACCACCGTTCATTTAATAGAGGGGTAGTCAAATGTTTCTAAATTGATGGGTATGAGACATTTTCCCATTAATTCATGCCTCGTGTTATAAATATTGCATTGACTCTCTTTTTATTATTTCGGGTAGAACTGTAGGCTTGGTTACAAACGCAAATAATAAGTAATAAGCGGGCATCGGCGAGTGGCGACAAAAGTTAAATATGATTAAAGGAGTGAAATCGGAACCCAAATTTAATTTCCAGAGTACTTTATTGTGATTTTTATCCTATGTGTCGCCTTTTATCCGTTTGTAAATTAGCGCTGGATAGGGTTATCTGGATAGTAGCAATTTACCATGCCATATATTCAATACTCTTTATATTGTATGGTAGACTTAACTAATAACACCCGTCGTACAAACTCTGAAACGACGCCGTTGCGTTTACTGAACCTGTCAAAAGCATATCATGATGTTAAGTTGTTTGCAAAGACCTTCCTGTTCCGGATATTTACAAAGCTCATTGAAGCATAA